ATGGAAAGATACACCGCCATATTTTTTATCTTTTGTGCATGTAGAGAGTAGTGGAGCGAGGCCCAATGATGAGCTTGGAGTTTAATGGTAAGTCTGAACAGGTGTCAACAACTTTTCCTTTTTCGATTAACTGAGTTAGGTAGCTTTGTTTTGGTGCTGTAAGCTCCTTTTTTTTTCTTTTTTTCTTTCTTTTTTAAACAAAGCACATGAACCTAAGCTCCTGTAAGCTCCTGTAATCTCCTCTAGAAAAAGCCCAGGTATCTCAATTTTYATTTCTAGTACCTCTGATTATGGCTGCTCCATCTATTGGTGGGGAGCTACACCTGCTGGAAAATGGGTCCAGCCTTCACCAAGGAATGAACTTGCTTGGAACATCATTTGACATGACATGAACCGTCTGCATAACAACAGAAGGCCCCTCCGCGTTTTGCTGAGCCTGGGTCYGGTCCCGTTGGATTTTCTTTCCTGGTTCTCATGTGCAAGGAATWTGAGTGTGAACGATATACAGAAAASYAAGTTGCGAAATCAMACAGATGTCCAAGTAGTCGTGTCCAAGCAGAGAGTACAAATGCACCGAGAAAACCATCCATATAGAGCAATACAATGAAGTAATGAGTCAATGTCCAAGCYCGTAGGCCACACCAACACAGWATCCAAAGTCACTACTCTCTGTCTGGCGCCCAGCGCCCAGCCTACTCTACCCGACTATCCTACCTACAGCTGTGTTCACTCAACAGGYTCACTTCRACTCTCGAAGACCAATGTRCATGACTGTCAACTCCATAGCCGACCTCTCTTCATGCACCAGGTACGTATCTCGTCACCCTCAATCAGACCTTGATTACCCCACACTCGCCTCCTTCCCTGACGACCACCAGATCGCCCGCTGCACCCCCTGGCGCCCAGCAGCCCGACTATGGCTGCCTGCGCCCGCTGCCCTGCAGCGCCCCTCCTCACCACTACGCACCCCGTCAGTGCCTTTGGCAGCAGCGCAGCATCAAGCGAGAGCGCAGCAGCACTTCCGCATTGCCAGCACTGGCCAGAATGCCTGGCCTGGGCTGCCTCACTTCTTTTATGGAAGTGGCAGCCTCCTGGATGCTGCGTGTGGCCTGGCTGGAAGCTTCCAGTAGCTTCTGGTTGGGCCTCAGACCCTGCGCCCAGGCCCGAGACTACAGTTGAGGGTCTGGGCCCTTTTCAGTTGGGCACGGCCTGAGTCTCCGGACTTGGGCTGTTTGCTGCATCTGTGCAGGGCTCCCAGGCAGGTGCGTAGGCAGTACTGCTTTTCCAAAAGAATCGGCCCTGCTTTGTGTGTATGTGCCCAGGCGCAACTGTCAAGGCCTGGGCCAACTGTGTGACGCAGCTTAGTGAGGCTCATGCGTCTACCCAACCAACTGGCGTGCTGCGAGAGCCTGAATACCCACATATGGAAATGTCGAATTTTGGCCTCTGACAAATATTCAGGCCCGCCTTCACTTAGGGTGGGCACTCAGCTTGCTGGGGGCCTTAGCCCAGAACATGTGATGTCTGATAGGGCCCCTTGAGGGCTTGTTCCTCATGGAGTAACATACGGAAAAGAAAAAGAAAAAAAAAGAAAAAAAGAAGAAGAAGAAGAAAGCATAAATCGATTTTATAAAAAAAAAAAATTCCCTAGCGTAGTCACAGCCATCAGTTACATTTTTACAAGGTGCTAGTGAGACTGTGCCCTCAGTGAGCGCACCTGTCCTACTAAGAAGAAGTGAAGAAGAAAGAAAAAAGAAAAAAAGAACTTATGCTGCAATCGCAGTCGGATACAGGAAGACACAGTAGTAGTAGTTTGAATATGAGGCAGTCTGTTGCCCGGGGTCAAATCCGCCCTGCCTCACTGGCAGGGCGCCGTGAGGACAAGAAAAGGAGGGGGAAGGGGGGGAACAGCAAAAAAAAAAAAAACAGCAATCACTTTCCACACATACTTCCCAGATACATCCTATGAGGCGCTACTGAGACTGTGCCCTCAGTGAGGGCGTCTGTCCAATAGAGAAGTAATGAAGAACAACTGTTATACAGCGGCAAAGGCGGGGACACAGCCATTCGGGTAGCAGGCTTTATGTTCTAAACAGTAAGCTCGGCAAAGGTCTTATGAAGTGGGGGATGGGCAGCTTTCTGGATGGTAGTCCAAAGCCAACACTCTCCCACACACCACACGCAACCCACTCACACTCGCACTCACACCCGTGTTGGCCG